CTCTAAAAATTGAATATATTTCGCAGATGACTGAAAAACAAGAAACGTGTCTAATTAACTCAGTACTCGCTCGTTCAAATAACAGGCAGGAAAGGTCGAAGCTCGTCAAACCTTTCATTATTCTTTTTTTTTCGATATGAACGTGCGATTTTACGTTTCGTCATTGCATAAATCACTCGATTTTTCTTTTTTTGCGTCCGGTTCCCAAAAGAGTAAAAAATCTCTAAGTCACAACAATTTGGGTCACTTATCCAAGCAGAAAAATATCCATCCCTCGGAAAATTGCCGACACCATTCAAACTTCCAATACCAAGAGCTCAATGTGTTCAACTCATTGGAAACGCTTACTGTAACTGAAAGTCCAACAGATCCGAACAATACATCAATACTGCATTCTGGAAATGAAAGATTTCTTTTAAACGGATAGTTTAAAAAAAAAAGTTGCCGAGATTTTTATCAAATGACTCACGCGTAAATATCGGCACGATATTTGCAAGAGGAATGGACACGAAAACGAAATCGGAAGCAGGAAGTTTGGAATTACAATACTTTTATCACCACCGTTTTGCGAAGAAAAATTAACTGGCATTTCATAAAGTCATTCATTCTTTCACCCATAATCAAGAGGAATTTCCTATGCTTTGAAACGATATGTTCATTGCAGGATTTGCAGCAACGGCGAGAAAAAGCAATCCAATCTCATATTAGCGCAAATAAGAAAAAAATTGAATTTCGGATGAAAGGAAGAAAAGACTTTCGAGTCGAGATAATCGGGAACTGAACTCGGGACCCAATTACCCGAAGCGGGTTCATAAAATTCTTTATGCAAAACCCAACCCAGATCTAAAACAAAAGAAATAAAAAAAATTTTAAGATCGTGGGTAAGAATGGAAAGATATTTTACTGCTTGGATAATTCCGGGGAGGCAGCCAGGTCACTAAAATTTCTTTAAAATTCCATCTCTCTCTCTCTTTCTCTCCTAATGAGGGAATTAAAACGAGACAAAAATGAAAAGAAACTCAAAGAGCCACGGCAGTTCGGGCCACGGCTTGCGTCGACTTCAGCTCCATGTCCGACGGGTGTCGATGATGAAGTTGATGAACAATGATGATGATAACGTCCAGGCGAGTCGTTGTCCTGTCAATTCTTGGCTGTCAATTCTTCTTGTTTTTTTTTTTTGTTTGCTTCGTTTTCAAATTCGGATCCGTTTATTCTGGAACGGGTCCCTCGCGGGAAGTGAGTCGCTTGAGGTTCGGACGATCGTATTCTTCCATGGACATGGACCGGTTGCGACGAGGGATGCAAGCAGGGTTCCCGTCGTCCGACGCGTTGCTGCCAGAGCTGAAAGTGCGCTGGCGCTCCACGCCAACCATCGTCACCGAGGACAGCAGACCCAGGCCTTTCGCGAACAGCAGCAAACTTTGCGAAACCTTCTCTGGCTGCAAAAAAAAAGATTGATAATTGAGTAAATGCTCCATATCTCAGTGTTCCCCAACATTTTTGGACCGGCTAATTTTCATACAAATTTTCTGCGGACCGGCATATTTCCAAAACATTATCTGTCGACCGGCTGCATTCCATAAAATTTTCTGCGGACCGGCATATTTCCAAAACATTTTCTGTCGACCGGCAGCATTCCATAGAATTTTTGCAAACCGGCAAACAAATTTAAATACCGTACATCCCATCAAGTCCTCCAAACAAAACTTTTATTTCAAAATCAAGTCAAGCACCAGTGGAGCAGCTGAAGTGCATTGTCTTCAAAAAATTAAAAAGCTGGGCTTTAAAAAGGGTTTCCCAGAATTAAAAGTGGAAATAACTTATTTCATCATGTGAAAATTATTCTTGAGTGTTAAGGGAAAATCCATTTTTTAAATTTCCAATCCGATACTTTCAACTGACATTGGTACAGGCTGTTACTTTCAGGTACGGGCTATGTCAAAAGTCCGTTAAATCATAATTACTGCCAGAAAAAAATTGAATTTCTTATTTTCAATAGCGGGGCGTTGATACAATTTCCAATTCTCAAAAACTAGGTAATCTGCAATAGCGTGCAATGCAGTACAGTACAGTACTGTACACAGAAGACGGAGGGCCGTAAAATTGGCAATTTGACATTTAAAAATGGAAAAGCTAATCTTTTCAATCACGGTGAAACTACAGCTTTTCGGTCAACAATAATGAACAACATATCAGTGGGAATCAAACCTTCTAAAAAAAATTTCGGAGTTTTTTACTCTTTGAAATCGTAACCTGAAGCTATCCATAAATATCTTCAATCTGCTTTCTTCGGTTTGTTTCAACAAATAGACCAAGCGTATGCAGATGTACAGTACTTCCACTTCAGAAAGTCACAGTCATAGTCAGTTTTGTTACTCAGTCTTCCACTTATACAGTAAAATCTCGTTACAACAAATACCGTTACAACAAATTTTTCAATACAACAAACTTTTTTTCAAGTCCTGGCAGAAAGCCTATAGACTACATGTTAAAATAATCTCGTTATAACAAACTTGGGAATTCCGTTATAACAAACTTTTTTGACGCAATTTTTTTGGTTTTTTGTGGAAAAATTTGGAAAAATTATTTGAAATTTGCTTGTGTTATTCTCCATTGAAGCCTGAATCAAAAGAGGCCTCAATAGAGGCCCAAATGTTTCAAAATCTCCATGGGATCCACCCAGGAGAGAGAGTTTTTCCACCCTTCCATGAAACCCCTTCCCTGGAACACAGCAAAAATTGCATGTAGAATTGTTTGGACCCCTGGAGGTTAATCCAAACATTCTGTTTCCCATGAACTTGCAGGAAGGGCAGTCAAATACAAAAAAACTTCAATACAGTGGAATAACTGCCCCAACAGCAATGACTTCCCTGGAATACCATTTTTAAAATTTAAAGGATCAAACCATGAACCAAGAAGTCCACAGAATCCATCCAAACACCCAACCCAGGAGCAGTTCTTCAACATCTTCTGAAGAATAAAAATAAAGATGCACACCTACAAGAGTAAAAACTTTTCATGTCCCATGCATTGTGAAAGAGGTTCCAGTACAACTTTGGACAGTGACTGTTCAACACAAATTTTGTGAACACAGGAATTTTTTAATTTTTAATTCTGGATACTGTGGAATGCTAAGAATTTGAAAAAAGGATTGCTGGTAAAATTAGAGATAAAAAATTTGGCCACACAAATTAATTTTAATTTCAAATTGCTTGTGTTTCCAACTTCAGTGCATTGTTTTCATTGCTTTTTTCTTTTCCTGTGTCTCTACACAGCAATGCATGGCAGTTCTATGTACAGGGTTACAAAAATCAGTCAAATTTCTCAAACAAAATGTTTGCCTTGCCTCTTTATT